ACCGATGTTCACTTCAATAAATGAAATCGTAAGTTTGCTAGTATTTTTGTCCACTTATTATATTATTATTTATACACTATTATTTAAGGTTATGTGTAAAGGAAACGCATTAATGCTTAAAGGTACATTTATTCAACATATGCTAATAATAGTTAGAAAAATTACGTAACCATCACGGTATCGACGGTTTCTTTATCGACGGCCGTCTACAGAACATAACCCCCGTCGATAAAGAGGGAGTACTGTACTTAAATTGTTATCTCTAGTGCAAATTAGAGCATGTTGCTATTCAAATTAATCAGTGCCTTGCAAGAATCCCAGCAATGTTAATTATATTCTCCCAGGTCATTTCACTGGCATTTTAAAATGGGAGAAGCGTAGTAGGACTGTTAAATAAACACACAGAGACCTTCGGCTCAAACTGTCAAACATATCACCTCAACCCACCCCCCCCTCCCCCACCCCTCGCTGGCTGGCTTGCTCCGTCCCTCCCTCCCTCCCTGCCCCATCTGTTCAGCCACGGGTTTATTTAGGCTTACAGTTTTTATCTTATATAATATCTCAGACTAAAGTTAGGATATTATAATTTGCATTGCTGGAATCCTTGCAAGACAGCCAATAATTTGAATATAAACGTCAAAATATTTTGTTGAAAAGATAAAAAAAATTGTACATTAGTGTACAGTACTGGTTTTCAGTTAAAAAACTGTTGTATTACAATAATATTCCCTCCTAATTGACTTGAATAAATACTTGAATGGAAATATACAACATTTTTGTTGAAACTACCTGCGTTTCAGTGTAAATGTCGTAATAATATATGATAAACAATTTGCCTTCGGCACTCTGTGTTTCAGGCACGGCAAGCCTCAGTTTATAGGACGTAGAGTGTTTTTATTGAAGGTTTTGTTGTTCCAATACCCTCAAAAACTTGCGGGTGGGGTGTAGGAAGGGAGGGAGGGACCCAGCGAGCGTGGGAAGAGGGGGGAGCTGGAGGTGGGGTATTTTGATTGACAGATAGTGTTTGGGTGAAGTATAATTTTTTTATTTAGTGAAGATATTTGTTTTAGCTCATAAAATTCATACAAATTACCCGGCCAGAATATAATTTACATTGCTGGAATTCTTACAATATGATGATCATTTTAAATATAAACATCATGGATTTTGCATTAGACATACAAATTTTACATCTAATGAAAGAATTTTGTTTACACAGAGCAAATATGTTATCTTTTGTGTAAAATATATGACGTGTATATTCAAAATATTCCTGGTCTTGCAAGGAATCCAGCAATGTCAATTATATTATCCTAACTTTAGTCTGAGGTAATATTTATTACTAAACATTAAAATCTATTGTTTCACCCAAACATTTCTCAGAGAGGGAGGAGCCAGCGAGCGTGGGAAGAGGGGGTGAGTTGAGTCCATTATTTGATTGGACATTAACCTGGCGACTGTATTTCTCTTAAATATTAATTGTGTGTGCATACCATCATAAAATTAAGATGTTATTTTTACTACAACATAGGTATTGTGTCGGAAAAAGTGGAGTTTGGGAGTCGGCCCAGTCTCTATTTCAATTAATCCCATATGTTCTGTTATTCCATTTACGCTTTTTTCGTTTTACGCGGACCTCCGTGGGTTCAATTGACCGCGTAAATCAGGGTATTACTGTATTCAAAATAGTATAACCGTGTTGCACAGTAAAGTGCAATTAATTATCTAATAATATTTATTTACTGAGCCGATCAGCCGAGAAGGTTGGACAGCTACAGCTGGCTGCCTCCTGCTGGGAAGCTAGCCCCAATCAAAGAGCTTTTTGCAGTCATGTGACTTTTTAGCAACTTTAACCCTTATTTTTAACACTTTTTGGCCCAATTTATTAAAAAAAAATATCATTACCATAGTGAATTTAAGCGTTTTCTTTACCCATTGACCTGCCATCTTACGAAAAAGTTCTGACCGTCAACTTGCTCATTATTTCTTTTACTTTTTTCACAATATGTATTTAGGATGATGTGTGCCTGTAAATGTAGTAAAAATAAATGAAGAAACTTGCGTATATCTACCCAAAAGTGCAAATTGAAAAACTTATACAGAGTACCTATACTCAAATGTACTACACTAAAGGACTAAAATATTTATCTCTTTTGCAAACTATGTGATGTTTAAACTCAAATTAATCACTATCTTACAAAGATTCCAGCAATGTAAGTTATATTCTTCTAAGTTTAGTCTGAGACATTTTATAAGATAAAAACTTTAAGCCTAAAATAACCTTAACTCTGGCTGGGAGGGAGGGGAGGGAGTTAAGTGCTCTCTCATAATTTTGTCTGGACTAAAGGAGGTGCTGGACCATCAGTTCCTGGAAAATCGGTGGTGTACCTGTATTAAGTGATGATAAATACACAACTGTACTGTACTAATTTAATAAGTGTTGAAGACAGACATTGTGATAAGCCAATCAGCTGTTTGCTCTTTGTAAACAGTGACTCATGGTTTTCAGTGGGATTTTTTTTCTTCAGGAAACCTGGTTCTTTTAGGATATTATTTTATCAACCTGGTACCAAATGATCCTAAGTTGTATGAGAATTGTGGTGGAATTGCATAAAGAAGTGTTAAAGGAATCTTGTGGGATTTAAGGGGAGGGAGCCACCTACCCATGCTACCCTTCTGCCAGCTGCTCCCAGATAAACATTCATAGGAACATAAGAAAATAAGGAGTCTGCAATAGGCCGGTTGGCCTGTGCATGGCAGCTCCTGTCGAGAGTTATTACCACTCTGTATCATCCATGAATCTATCTAGCCTCCTTTTAAAACTTTCCAGCATTCCAGCACTTACTACAAAGTTGCTAAGCTTGTTCCACTCGTCCACTACCCTATTTGTGAACCAGTTCCTTCCTGTCTCCCTCCTAAACCTAAACTTATCCAACTTAAATCCGTTGCTACGAGTCCTATCCTGCTCGGATATTATAAGAACTTATATCTATATTGCCATTATTGATTCCTTTCACCCACTTAAATACTTCTATCATATTTCCCCGCACTCTTCGTCTTTCTAGGGAATGCAAGTTTAGTTTCTTTAACCTATCTTGAAATGGAAGGTTTCTAAGTCCAGGAATCATTTTCGTCATTCTTCGCTGCACTGACTCCAGTGAATTGATATCCATTCTATAATAAGGGCACCAGAACTGAACCACAATTGAGGTGCAGCCTGACTAATGCAAGATACAGTTGCAATAAGACCTCTGCACTCTTATTACTTACACTTCTAGATATAAAACCTAATACTCTGTTTGCCTTATTTCAAACTTTAACGCACTGTTTCCTAGGCCGTAGGTCCGGGCTTACAAGTGCACCTAAGTCTCTTTCACAAGTCGTCTCTAGGTTGATGTTGTTAAGGCTGTATACATAGACAGTATTTGTTCTTCCATTATTAAGTACGCTGCAATTGCTGGTGTTGAATTTCATTTGCCATTTTCCTGACCACTCCTGCAGTTTATTTAAATCCTCCTGTAGTGCATTAGCATCCTGCCCTGAATTAATCTGCCGCCCTAATTCATCTTCCACATACAATATACTCCTTCACTTATTTGTTCTTATTTTTATCTCTATAGTTCTGTGCAGTATGCAGTTTTCTCTTTATTTATTCTTCAGACAAATTCTTTGGTTACTTACACATAACACTCTACAGTAAATAACAATCATCTCGGTGACAACAGTTGTTGACAAACAGAGTTATATGTTTGATTTTTAACACCAGAGAGTTTGGTTTCATATTTTTTTCTTGTTGATGTAATTTTCTTTTAATAACCTTGTTATGCACTTAAAGATTATAGTTGTTGAAGTGCAGTAATAACATACAATAACTTATTTTCTTTAAATAGTTCGGATATACTATATACAGGGTGTTCCGTAAATACCTTTCATAAATCAGGGGGTACAGTGGGGTATGCAATAACGAATCTAATTGGTTCTAGAACCTTGTTCTTTATAGCATTCGTTCGTTATAGGATTAATCCGTTCCAGGCCCCCAAATACAACCACTTAACACTGAAAAATGTAATATAAAATTGTAAAAATTGTAAAAAAGTGCATACATATGCATCTATACCCCTGAAATAAAGAATATCATTAATACTTGTAATAAAAAACAATAAATTAGTAAAAAAAAAAAAAATTGAATTTTTTTTTTAAATACTGTTCGTTGTAGGAGTTTCGTTCGTTATAGCATTCTCAATTTTATAAGTAAAACCGTTCGTTATAGGAATATTCGTAGTAGGATCCGTTCGTTTCTTTAGACATAAATAAAGATAAATGACCATATTGTCAATTCAAAATATTTTCGGAGTTACAGCGCTTGACAGGTTTGGTAGGAATGTGATGAAACCTACAGTCACCTGACATACATTCACTTTATTTCTACCTGTGGGGTCACATAGAAAGCAAAGTGTATGTTACAGTGGTTTGCAAACCGTGAGGAATTGTGCTGCCGTGTACAGGACAGTGTGACAAACATTCGCAACACCCCTTGGGTCTTTGAACGTGTGCAATGGGTAAAAGCCTGCATGAGCAAGAGTGGCAGAACTTGAACATTTCCTCTAAATGTTAAAACCAGCACAAATCATATGGCATTATTATTGTTAATTGTCACTAGCAACAGTGGGTGTTTCATTTACACCCCATAGGTTTCATGTTCCTACCAAATCTGTCATGTTCTGTAACTCCAAAACTATTGAAAGTTGATAATTGGGTCATTTAGACATTTATCTTTATTTAAGTCACAGGAATACACCCCCTGATTTATGAAAGGTATATACGGAACACCCTGTATATTGGCTGATAGGCAATGCCTTCTCTTGCTGGAGCTGGTGATGCAGGGGGAGGGAGAGGTGCTGGGATTCCTGTCAATGTGTTGGCAATGGTTTTTCCCACTAAGATGTGATGGCAAGACATGACAATTCTATAATCATTTATATTTTTTTCTTACTCTCAAGGTTCTTCAGGTTGCAGCTTTCGGACCACTGTTCCATGCCTCTCGTTTTGTGTTAGTTGGAGATCCTCAGCAACTACCACCAGTAGTCCAGAGTAAACAAGCAAAGTAAGTTAATTAGTTGTAAGTATTTTATTACAGCCAGATGACCTTCACTGGATGGTTTTAGTTATATTAGGTTAATTTGTCAAATCTAGGTCCCCAGGAGACCTAGACATAGTGGCCAGAACAAATCTAAATGTTTCAGTAAACTTCCCTTATTTCATTTAAACCTCTAAAAAGAAGAATTTTGAAGGAACGGCTCTTCTCTCATGACTTCATTCAAGAACCTTTTTTTTTATGACCTGTCCCCATCCATTCCCAGTCACACCTTACACAAAACAAGTGATCCTTTTGTTCCTTCTGCATTCTCTGTAGATAAATATCTCATCTTTGTTTAACCTAGATTTTAGGCTTTTTGGTGAAATCACTGTTCCCAGTCATAGTATTTAGATGAAGATTACTTGTTTTATGTTATAGATGTTGATTATGGGTTGCTTATGATCCCTAGTTTTGACAGACTGACTGTGAACCAACAACACCTGCTCTCTGTCAAGGCAACATCCAATTTAATGATTAATATTTCAGTCTTTTTTTTTAGTGACATGCATTCATGGCCTATCAAAAGTTAGACTTGAAGTTATTAAGAAGTTCTCCAGTTTGTGCAAACAGAATTACACAAGTACCTATGTCAGAGATGGTTTCAGGCTAACTGAGATTGCTACTGCATGGTTTAGTAGGTCTGCATGTAGCATTTTTATTCAAGGGGATATTAGGGGCTCATCATTGTTGCTCCGTTGTTTCCCTTTTCCCTGTGTGATTTTATCAAGATATAAATATATATATATATATATATATATATATATATATATATATATATATATATATATATATATATATATATATATATATATATATATATATATATATATATATATATATATATATATATATATATATTGTTACGAGTTGGGATTTAGAATATAGTTATACGCCTACCCAGATCCCAACAGGTACAAATAAATAAAAACAAACAAAGACAATCGACTATAAAAGGGTAGACAAAGGATGATTAGCTTTGTATATAAAGAGTACCATAAATCCCTTAACAAAATATTCAGCTTATAAATTACCCTTAAACAAACTTAACCTAAACATTAACAGTATATACATATTAATAAACATAAAACAATCTCAAGAAGTGGACGTGGGGAAATTAATACAAGATACTAGTACTTAAGTGAGGAGCTGAGATGGCTGACGGTAAGGCTGAGTATTGTAGAAGACTGTAGGTAGTCACTGCACGTAGGTTTAGAGGATAGATGATCCTGTGGTCACTTCCCAGAGCCAAGTGCTCTCTCCTCGAATTGGAGCTGACAAAGAAGACTTTGAGGAGGGTGACGCAACAAACCAGGATAGGGAGAAGGGAAACCTCGAGTGGTAACTAAGACGCAGTCATACTGTCTTGTCCCTAGATGGCGTGTCGGTGCTGGGTAGGTAGATCAGACAATAGATGGCGTGGGTTCAGTAGTGCTGGGGTGGAGGGTCAGAACACAATATATATATATATATATATATATATATATATACATTGTTTTACCCCTGCTTTAACTATCTTCACTTAACGCTGCTTCATGATATACGTGCCTTGCCAAAGCTGAACTTTCACTAACGCATTTTTCATCATATACGCAGTCCGCTCGAGAGCTATTTTTAGATTCGCACCACCCCCAAGCACCCTGCCTGACTGCCTGTTTTAGCTCATAAAATTCATACAAATACTAGCCAGAATATAATTTCATTGCTGGAATTCTTATAATTTGGTGATCATTTTGAATATAAAACAACATATATTTTGCATTAAACATACAATTTTAGATAAAAATATTTCTAGGTAACTATGTTATCTTTTGTCCAAAATATATGACATTTATATTCAAATATTCCTGGTCTTACAAGGAATCCAGCAATGTCAATTATATTATCCTAACTTTTGTTTGAGGTATTATTTATTAAAATTTAGTGGTTATCCCACACATCTCCTTGGGACGGTTGGTGGGGGGTGGGGGAGGGGGACCGACCGACCACTATCTGTTACCTCGAATTATTTTTTTATTAACGAAGATATTTGTTTTAGTAAAATTCATACAAATTGTCAGAATATAATTTACATTGCTGGAATTCTTATAATTTGGTGATCATTTTGAATATAAACAACATATATTTTGCATTAAACATACAATTTTTAGATAAAAATTGTTCTCTAGGTAACTATGTTATCTTTTGTCCAAAATATATGACATTTATATTCAAAATATTCCTGGTCTTACAAGGAATCCAGCAATGTCAATTATATTATCCTAACTTTAATCTGAGGTATTATTTAATACTAAATGTTATAAACTCTGGAAGGAGGATTGGTGGGGGTGGGGGAGGGTTGGGACTGACCATGGTTGGAAGAGGGGAGGCAAGGTGGGGTACTGATTGACAGATAGTGTTGAAGAATATTTTTTTATTAACTGAAGATATTTGTTTTAGCTCATAAAATTCATACAATCCGCCAGAATATAATTTACATTGCTGGAATTCTACAATTTGTGATCATTTTGAATATAAACATGATAGATTTTGCATTAGACATACAAATTTTGATGAAAGTTTATTCTGAGTAAATATGTTATCTTTTGTGAAAATATATGACATTTATATTCAAAATATTCCTGGTCTTACAGAATCCAGCAATGTCAATTATATTATCTAACTTTGTTTGAGGATTATTTATTACTATACCTGGTTTCAAATTTCTCGAGGAAGCCGTGAGTGTAGTGTGAGAGAGGGAGTTGCCATTTGAATGGACATTCTCGCTTATTGCTTATTTTCTGTATTATTGTGTATGTAACATAAAATTAAGATGTTATTTACCAAATATTAGTGGTGGGTCGGGCTCTGAATTAATCCATATGTTCTGTTATTCATACGCGTTTCTTTGGCACGACCGCCGCTATGGGGTATAACTGTATATATATATATATATATATATATATATATATATATAATATATATATATATATATATATATATATATATATATATATATATATATATATATATATATATATATATATATATATATATATATATATATATATATATATATATATATATATATATATATATATATATATATATATATATATATATATATATATATATATATATATATATATACTTGCATATATATATATATATACAGTTGTACCCCACTTAACGCGGTCAATTGAACCCAGAGGGTCCCGCGTTAAGTGAAATCCGCGTTAAGTGAACAACAGAACATATGGGATTAATTCCAATAGAAACCGGCCCGACCCCCAAACTCCACTTTTTGAAGGCACATACCTATGTTGTAGTAAAAATCACATCTTAATTTTATGATGGTACATGCACACAATTAATACTTAAGAGAAATAGAGAAATACAGTCGCCAAGTTAATGTCCATTCAAATAATGGACTCAACTCTCTCACACTACACTGCCGGCTCTTCCCTCTCAGAGAAATTTTTGGGGGAAAACCACTAAATTTTAATAAATAATACCTCAAACTAAAGTTAGGATAATACAATTGACATTGCTGGATTCCTTGTAAGACCAGGAATATTTTGAATATAAATGTCATATATTTTGCACAAAAGATAACATAGTTACCTAGAGAAAATTTTTTATCTAAAAATTGTATGTTTAATGCAAAATATATGATGTTTATATTCAAAATGATCACCAAATTATAAGAATTCCAGCAATGTAAATTATATTCTGACCGGGTAATTTGTATGAATTTTATGAGCTAAAACAAATATCTTCAGTTAATAAAAAAAAAAATAATTCTTCACGGGGTAACAGATGGTCGGTCAGTCCCTCCCTCCCCCCACCCCCCACCAACCGTCCCAAGGAGATGTGTGGGATAACCACTAAATTTTAATAAATAATACCTCAAACTAAAGTTAGGATAATATAACTGACATTGCTGGATTCCTTGTAAGACCAGGAATATTTTGAATATAAATGTCATATATTTTGCACAAAAGATAACATAGTTACCTAGAGAAAAATTTTTATCTAAAAATTGTATGTTTAATGCAAAATATATGATGTTTATATTCAAAATGATCACCAAATTATAAGAATTCCAGCAATGTAAATTATATTCTGACCGGGTAATTTGTATGAATTTTATGAGCTAAAACAAATATCTTCAGTTAATAAAAAAAAAAATAATCTTCACGACACTATCTGTCAATCAAAGTACCCCACCTTGCCTCCCCGCCTCTTCCAACCGCGCGGTCAGTCCCAACCCTCCCCACCCACCCCCCACCAATCCTCCCTTCCAGAGTTTTTAACGTTTAGTATTAAATAATACCTCAGATTAAAGTTAGGATAATATAATTGACATTGCTGGTTTCCTTGTAAGACCAGGAATATTTTGAATATAAATGTCATATATTTTGCACAAAAGATAACATAGTTACCTAGAGAAAAAATTTTATCTAAGAATTGTATGTTTAATGCAAAATACATGATGTTTATATTCAAAATGATCACCAAATTATAAGAATTCCAGCAATGTAAATTATATTCTGACCGGGTAATTTGTATGAATTTTATGAGCTAAAACAAATATCTTCAGTTAATAAAAAAAAAAATAATTCTTCACAGGGTAACAGATGGTCGGCCGGTCCCTCCCTCCCCCCCACCCCCCACCAACCGTCCCAAGGAGATGTGTGGGATAACCACTAAATTTTAATAAATAATACCTCAAACTAAAGTTAGGATAATATAATTGACATTGCTGGATTCCTTGTAAGACCAGGAATATTTTGAATATAAATGTCATATATTTTACACAAAAGATAACATAGTTACCTAGAGAAAAAATTTTATCTAAAAATTGTATGTTTAATGCAAAATATATGATGTTTATATTCAAAATGATCACCAAATTATAAGAATTCCAGCAATGTAAATTATATTCTGGCCGGGTAATTTGCATGAATTTTATGAGCTAAACCA